ATTAAGAAGAATTATCTAGGAATCGAGGAGAGACGGAGAACATGAAAAATATTAAAAGCTGTTTTTACCTTGGTATTATTTAAATTACACTTCCGCATAGTCTAATATTTTTATCCATTTTCTCCATTCTTTCTCAAACCTATCCTGTGCAGAATCACCTTGACTGTTTACAATATATTTTTGAACAGTATAATGTTCTTTAATCATTTTAACTAAGGCATTTGGGCTCAACANGTCATATTCTCGTTTGCTACCAATAATCCAAAAAGAAAACTGATTTTATTAAATGAAAATGGGATAAAAAGTGCATCTAACAATATTTCAAAACTTTGTAAAAAATTCTGTACTTCTCTACATTCCCACAAAATATGAATGATTGTTTCTTGTTCTAAATTACAAAGTGTACAGAGTGGACTTGTCACTAATCCTACTTTAAACATGGATGAATTTGTTGTCAAAATATGATGAACAATTCTATACTGAAACCATTGTAGTCTTGAATTTTTTGTTATTCTAAAAGGGGTCTTATATATATCATTCCAATTAAAATTATTCAAATCCAATTTTTCTTCCCATTTTCTCCTCCCAGTAGCAATAGTATCTTTTTTTTACCATAAGATTATAAAAATCTTTTATCGCTTTTACTCTTTTTAAGAAAAAAAAACATTACAGGGTATGATAGGGTATACAATAGCATCCTTTTTACAATCAATTTTAGCTAAATATTTCCTTATTGTAGTTAATACACCATGATATTGGTGAGAGGGATTGTAGATATTGTATGGTTACACACCGTGAAAGGGTTTGCAGATATTGTATGGTTACACACCGTGAGAGGGTTTGAAGATATTGTATGGTTACACACCGTGAGAGGGTTTGTAGATATTGTATGGTAACACACCGTCAAAGGGTTTGTAGATATTGTATGGTTACACACCGTGAGAGGGTTTGAAGATATTGTATGGTTACACACCGTGAGAGGGATTGAAGATATTGTATGGTTACACACCGTGAGAGGGATTGAAGATATTGTATGGTTACACACCGTGAGAGGGTTTGAAGATATTGTATGGTTACACCCCGTGAGAGGGTTTGTAGATATTGTATGGCTACACACCGTGAGAGGGGTTGTAGATATTGTATGGTAACACACCGTCAAAGGGTTTGTAGATATTGTATGGTTACACACCTCGAGAGGGTTTGTAGACTGTGTATGGTTACACACCGCGAGAGGGTTTGTAGATATTGTATGGTTACACACCGGGAGAGGGTTTGTAGATATTGTATGGTTACACACCTCGAGAGGGTTTGTAGACTGTGTATGGTTACACACCGTGAGAGGGTTTGTAGATATTGTATGGCTACACACCGTGAGAGGGTTTGTAGATATTGTATGGCTACACACCGTGAGAGGTTTTGTAGATATTGTACGGTTACACACCGTGAGAGGGGTTGTAGATATTGTATGGTGACACTCCGCGAGAGGGTTTGTAGACTTTGTATGGTTACACAGCGTGAGAGGGTTTGTGGATATTGTATGGTTACGCACCGTGAGAGGGTTGGTAGATATTGTATGGCTACACACCGTGAGAGGTTTTGTAGATATTGTACGGTTACACACCGTGATAGGGTTTGTAGATATTCTATGGTTACACACCGAGAGAGGGTTTGTAGAATTTGTTTGGTTACACACCGTGAAAGGGATTGTAGATATTGTTTGGTTACACACCGTGAAAGGGTTTGTAGATATTGTATGGTCACACACCGTGAGAGGGTATGTAAATTTTGTTTGGTAACACACCGTCAAAGGGTTTGTAATTTTTTTATGGTTACACACCTCGAGAGGGTTTGTAGAATTTGTTTGGTTACACACCGTGAAAGGGGTTGTAGATATTGTATGGTTACACACCTCGAGAGGGTTTGTAGAATTTGTTTGGTTACACACCGTGAAAGGGCTTGTAGATATTGTATGGTTACACACCATGAGAGGGTATGTAAATTTTGTTTGGTAACACCCCGTCAAAGGGTTTGTAATTTTTTTATGGTTACACACCTCGAGAGGGTTTATAGACTTTGTTTGGTTACACACCGTGAAAGGGCTTGTAGATATTGTATGGTTACACACCGTTAGAGGGTTTGTAGATATTGTATGGTTATACACCGTGAGAGGGTTTGTAGATATTTTTTGGTTACACACCGTGAGAGGGTTTATAGATATTGTATGGTTACACACCGTGAAAGGGTTTGTAGATTTTGTTTGGTAACACATCGTGAAAGGGTTTGTAGATTTTGTTTGGTAACACATCGTGAAAGGGTTTGTAGATTTTGTTTGGTAACACACCGTGAAAGGGCTTGTAGAGTTTGTTTGGTTGCCCACCGTGAGAGGGTTTGTAGATTTTGTTTGGTTACACACCGTGAAAGGGGTTGTAGATATTGTATGGTTACACACCTTGAGAGGGTTTGTAGACTTTGTTTGGTTACACACCGTGAGAGGGTTTGTGGATATTGTATGGTTACACACCGTGAGAGGGGTTGTTGATATTGTATGGGTACACACCTCGAGAGGGTTTGTAGAATTTGTTTGGTTACACACCGTGAAAGGGCTTGTAGATATTGTATGGTTACACACCTTGAGAGGGTTTGTAGACTTTGTTTGGTTACACACCGTGAAAGGGGTTGTAGATATTGTATGGTTACACACCGCGAGAGGGTTTGTAGATATTGTATGGCTACACACCGTGAGAGGGTTTGTAGACTTTGTTTGGTTACACAACGTGAAAGGGTTTGTAGATATTGTATGGTTACACACCGTGAGAGGGTATGTAGATTTTGTTTGGTAACACACCGTCAAAGGGTTTGTAATTTTTTTTATGGTTACACACCTCAAGAGGGTTTGTAGATTTTGTTTGGTTTCACACTCTGAAGGGTTTGTAGATTTTGTTTGGTTACACACCGTGAGAGGGTTTGTAGATATTGTTTGGTTACACACCGTGAGAGAGATATTGTATGGTTACACACCTCGAGAGGGTTTATAGACTTTGTTTGGTTACACACCATGAAAGGGTTTGTAGATTTTGTTTGTTTACACACCGTGAAAGGGTTTGTAGATATTGTTTGGTTACACACCGTGAGAGGGTTTGTAGATTTTGTTTGGTTACACACCATGAATGGGTTTGTAAATTAGATTTTGTTTGGTAACACACCGTCAAATGGTTTGTAAATTTTGTATGGTTACACACCGTCAAAACTTTCTACATTTTTTATGGTAACACAACGTGAGAGGGTTTTTAGATTTTGTTTGGTTACACTCTGTGAGAGGATTTGTAGATTTTGTTTGGTTACACCCCGTGAAAGGGTTTGTAGATATTGTATGGTTACACACCGTGAGAGGGTTTGTAGATATTGTATGGTTACACACCTGGAGAGGGTTTGTAGACTTTGTTTGGTTACACACCGTGAAAGGGTTTGTAGATTTTGTTTGGTAACACACCGTCAAAGGGTTTGTAATTTTTTTATGGTTACACACCTCGAGAGGGTTTGTAGATTTTGTTTGGTTACACATCGTGAGAGGGTTTGTAGATTTTGCTTGGTTTCACACTCTGAAGGGTTTGTAGATTTTGTTTGGTTAAACACCGTCAGAGGGTTTGTAGATTTTGTTTGGTTTCACAGTCTGAGGGGTTTGTAGATTTTGTTTGGTTAAACACCGTCAGAGGGTTTGTAGATTTTGTTTGGTAACACATCGTGAAAGGGGTTGTAGATTTTGTTTGGTTAAACACCGTCAGAGGGTTTGTAGATATTGTTTGGTTACACACCGTGAAAAGGTTTGTAGATTTTGTTTGGTTACACATCGTGAGAGGGTTTGTAGATTTAGTTTGGTTACACATCGTGAGAGGGTTTGTAGATTTTGTTTGGTTTCACACTCTGAAGGGTTTGTAGATTTTGTTTGGTTACACATCGTGAAAGGGTTTGTAGATATTATTGGTTACACACCGTCAAAGGGTTTGTAGATTTTGTTTGGTTACACATCGTGAAAGTGTTTGTAGATTTTGTTTGGTTACACACCGTGAGAGGGTTTGTAGACTTTGTTTGGAAACACATCATGAAAGGGTTTGTAGATTTTATTTGGTTGCACACCGTGAGAGGGTTTGTAGATTTTGTTTGGTTACACACCATGAATGGGTTTGTAGATTCGATTTTGTTTGGTAACACACCGTCAAATGGTTTGTAAATTTTGTATGGTTACACACCGCGAGAGGGTTTATAGATTTTGTTTGGTTACACACCGTCAAATTTTCTACATTTTTTATGGTAACACAACGTGAGAGGGTTTTTAGATTTTGTTTGGTTACACTCTGTGAGAGGATTTGTAGATTTTGTTTGGTTACACACCGTGAGAGGGTTTGTAGTTTTTGTTTGGTTACACACCGTGAGAGGGTTTGTAGTTTTTGTTTGTTATTACAAATGGAAAGGGTTTGTATATTTTGTTTGGTTACACATCGTGAAAGGGTTTGTATATTTTGTTTGGTTACACACTGTGAGAGGGTTTGTATATTTTGTTTGGTTACACACCGTGAAAAGGTTTGTAGATTTCGTTTGGTTTCACACCCTTAAGGGTTTGAAGATTTTGTTTGGTTACACATCGTGAAAGGGTTTGTAGATTTTGTTTGGTAACACACCGTGAAAGGGCTTGTAGAGTTTGTTTGGTTGCCCACCGTGAGAGGGTTTGTAGATTTTGTTTGGTTACACACCGTGAGAGGATTTGCAGATTTTCTTTGGTTACACACCGTCAATGGGTTTGTAGATTTTGTTTGGTTACACACTGTGAGAGGGTTTGTAGATTTTGTTTGGTTACACATCGTGAAAGGGTTTGTAGATTTTGTTTGGTAACACATCGTAAAAGGCTTTGTAGATTTTGTTTGGTTACACATCGTGAAAGGGTTTGTAGATTTTGTTTGGTTGCACACCGTGACACCGTCAGTGGGTTTGTAGATTTTGTTTGGTTACACACCGTGAAAGGGTTTGTAGATATTGTTTGGTAACACAACCTGAAAGGTTTTGTAGTTTTTGTGCGATTACACACCGTGAGAGGGTTTCAGATTTTATTTGGCTACACACCCTGAAATGGTTGTAGATTTTGTATCGTTACACACCGTGAGAGGGTTTGTAGATATTGTTTGGTTACACACCGTGAGAGGGTTTGTAGATTTTGTATGGTAACACACCGTCAAAGGGTTTGTAAATTTTGTATGGTTACACACCCTGAGGACAATGACAGATGGTAGACTTGATTGTTCCCTGAGGACAATGACAGGTTGTTCGCTGAGGACAATGACAGATGGTAGACTTGTTTGTTCCCCGAGGACAATGACAGGTTGTTCCCTGACGACAATGACAGATGGTAGACTTGTTTGTTCCCTGAGGACAATGACAGGCCGGTGACTTGTTTGTTCCCTGAGGACAATGACAGGTCGTGGACTTGTTTGTTCCCTGAGGACAATGACAGGTCGTTGACTTGTTTGTTCCCTGAGGACAATGACAGACCTTTGACTTGCTTGTTCCCTGAGGACAATGACAAGTCATTGACTGGTTTGTTCCCTGAGGACAATGACAGGTTGTTCCCTGAGGACAATGACAGATGGTAGACTTGTTTGTTCCCTGAGGACAATGACAGGCCGGTGACTTGTTTGTTCCCTGAGGACAATGACAGACCTTTGACTTGATTGTTCCCTGAGGACAATGACAGGTCATTGACTGGTTTGTTCCCTGATGACAATGACAGGTTGTTCGCTGAGGACAATGACAGATGGTAGACTTGTTTGTTCCCTGAGGACAATGACAGGTTGTTCCCTGAGGACAATGACAGATGGTTGACTTGTTTGTTCCCTGAGGACAATGACAGGCCGGTGACTTGTTTGTTCCCTGAGGACAATGACAGGTCGTGGATTTGTTGTTCCCTGAGGACAATGACAGGTCGTAGACTTGTTTGTTCCCTGAGGACAATGACAGGCCGGTGACTTGTTTGTTCCCTGATGACAATGACAGGTCGTGGACTTGTTTGTTCCCTGAGGACAATGACAGGTCGTGGACTTGTTTGTTCCCTGAGGACAATGACAGACCTTTGACTTGATTGTTCCCTGAGGACAATGACAGGTCATTGACTGGTTTGTTCCCTGATGACAAATGGCAGGCCGGTGACTTGTTTGTTCCCTTAGGACAATGACAGGCCGATGACTTGTTTGTTCCCTTAGGACAATGACAGGCCGATGACTTGTTGTCTCCTGAAGACAACGACTGGCCGTGGACTTTCAATTGGTGGCACGAAGAAATGTTTTGCAAAATTTTGATGAAAAAGAAATACTATTCTTCTGGATGAATAAAAGCACATATGACTATCATATTTACGATGCTCCGTAACATACAATAACCTATAAAAATAATTATGTGTTTGATATTTATCAGTGACTTAATGTACAAAATGTATCATTTCCTACTGTAAATATTGTATGTATCTAATGTCAACGTTACTTTTGGGAGATGTTTCTCCGTGACTGTGATATATCGCCAGAGATGCGCGTGTATATATTGCGTGTGCTGATCGATCGAGCAGACAGCCAATGAGGGAGAAGATTACACAGTATTTGAAAGGATGTTGAAATGAAATAGCTATGGTTATATATTCAACGATGGTGTAGAGTGTATGGTGTTCGCGGAAACGACTTACCAACATGTAAACGAACTCTTACTTACACCAGAGCACATTTGCGCGTGGAATACACGATCTCTGACGATACAGGGTTTGAATAACATAATTTGTCTCCCTGGAAATTATAAGTTAGAAAGCACCCCGGAACATTAGTTAATTAGAGGCAGCACCAATACTTCTGGGAAAGACTGCCACCTATTAATCGCTAGCCACGATAAAGGTCAAAGTATTCTCCGATACGGTCCGCAAACGTTTCCCGCATCACTGATTGGTACGGACGCTGATCATGAGATGCTGATTTAACAAGCGACAGGAGGCGGAATTCACGTCAACAGATGGCGCTGTAACTACGGGCCGTGCACAGGAGGTGTAGCAGAACAAAGTGCTGATTAATTCAGGAGAAACTTCTTTTAAATAATGGATTCGTTTAAGAAATTCAGTGAGTAATTCAACCATTTGACGGATATTTAAAGTATTTTTATAAAATATAATTAATTCAACTTCACCGAAATTGTGAGCAGAAGAAATAATTATTGTTGTGTGAAGATTTGACAACGAATCCGTAACATTATTGAATGAATCAACAGAGGTTTGACAGTCTGACTGCTGTGTGTATTAGCTGGTGTGTGAAGATGAACAGAGATGGTGGTATCATTATGACCACACGCCTATTGCAATGATAATGGCTGTGCTTTCAAAATGGAATATGCACGATTGAATTCATGAAGCATAATTCCTTTGTAAATTACATCACCAGTTAGTGCATAACGTCATCGGTTAGTGTATTACATCATCATTTAGTGTATAACGTCACCAGTTAGTGTATTACATTACCAGTTAGTGCATAACGTCACCAGTTAGTGTATCACATCATCAGTTAGTGCATTACGTCACCAATTAGTGTATTACATAATCAGTTTGTGCATAACGTCACCAGTTAGTGTATTACATAATCAGTTTGTGCATAACGTCACCAGTTAGTGCATTACATTATCGTTTATGAATTTATCAACGAGCCATCGACTAGTATTGATAAATTTATAATATGATGCCGACTGATACACTTTGGCAGGAGAAAGGTACAAACACGGGATTACAAACGTTCGTGTAAAATATTCAGAAAGAAACTAATAAAAGACGATAAACTATAAAAACTACCGCTATCAACATATCACCAATCGAAGCTATTGATATTTACGAGTCGAACTCGGCCAGTGCACTTTTTTTGCTTTTTGTTGGTTTGTGAACCGATGACTATAACCTCGGTGTAATATATTGGGGATGTCCATGCCGATATCTCACACGTATTGCTGATGTTCAGTGCAGGCCCGGTTCTGACTCTTTAATGCCAAAGTCCAAATTTCCGCTTTGAAGTGTGAACTCCTAATGACGTACGTATCTCTCGGATTCGGTAGGCGAACTGAAATCCTGTCCGAGAGCTTCCGAAAATAGTATCCAAAAGATTGGATTCGTCTGGGCAAACAGAGAGATCATTCCACAGTTCACCCAAATATACAAATAAAAGTAGTGTTTTAATGGAAGTTATGAAATAGTCGAGGGTGAATATTAATAATGACGGAAAGTGGACCTATTTCTGCGTAAATTCGATTTTTGGGATTATAAAACGTCCAGGGAGTGATACAGATCATAAAGATGAGGTGCATGACCATCATAAGAGCTCTGCTCGTGCGCGTTTTGTTCGCCGTTCACGGTGTGATAGCAATATGGCGACTGTTTATGGTCATTCGGAAGCCCTGGTGCTGGTACCTAACTGGAGCACTGGGTGGACTTTTGATCGAGACCATCATTACTCTCACAAAGAAAAAAGGCAAAGAGTGGAAATGGTACGTATCTTTATTCATTATTAGTGCTTTTCTCTCTCTATATTTTCCTTAAATGATTACCATTTACAGGTAAAAGGCCAGATAAAATACTGTAGTCTTAATACCAGCAATATCGATATTAGAACTGTTCATTATTGAAAAAAACTGGAACTACTTTGTACAGCGTGGAACGACATTACTATGATCGGAGTACTTTGGTTTTAACCTATAACAAGTCATCCGAAAACAAAGAATTGTGTTTGTGTTTTTTTTTCAAATTTTGAATGGAATGAATAGATTCTAACATTCTTTTCCATAACATTTATTGAATAATTAAACTTTTCCAGTGATTTGATATTGCACGAGATATATCAAAAAATAAACATCATATTGCGTTTAATAAATTCAATATGTCATGGACACTCATGTCAGATCCTCTGTTTATATTTTAATTATAGGTGAAATCCTCTCAAATCAAAATAAGTGGCTTTCTTTCATGATGTTACTAAAGTGTTAAGTGGAATTTGACTTTAACTGGATAAGAAAAATAACAAACTATTGTAAACATACCAAGAATTCTCTCATGTCTACATGATGTTTTTTGTGCGTGTCATCGATTTTGCCATTATGTTATACTGGGTTTTGACTATGCTATGCCACGTTATACATTCTCAGGTATCTGAGGAAAACAAATAAACTTGTAAACTTGTAAATTGCACGTGCTAGAACAGACAGATGAGGTAGATAGCGGATAGTAACGACAGCTTGGATCGGAGGGAACTTATTAATACCTCAAACTCTTACACCTATAAATAATAAAATATCGACATGGATCACTTGTCGTGAAATTGCACAAATATCAAGTAGAAAACCGAGATATTGACCACGGGTTTAACTTTATGTTTAGATGGTTCCGGGGCGTCCAGTTTTATAACCATGTGCAATGTATATTTTAAAGCAAAATTGGGTTTTGGGAAGAGATACTGCCCTGGATCAGCGGCTGGTGATGTTTGATACGTAAGTGGGGTCCCTATCATTGTACTGGTAGGTGTATGTACAGTCAGACCTAGCCACCTGATGAGTTCCCTTTGAAGACATGAGTTATCACTAAGTTTGGCGTCTCTCGGCTTTACCTTCAGCAACATTTGAATTTCCAAACATACTGTATCAACGTAGAGTAAGCTAAAACTCTGTGTTTTGTGATTACCCAGACAACCATTGTATTTTCCGGGTAATCCCGTTCTTGTGAAATCCAGAACATCTGAGATATACAAGATGTTACACCCTGGTCTGTTGAGTGTAAGGACTTTAGAGGGTGACTGGCGAGCTGTTAGGAAACCTTGTACATCTGTTCCATTAACCTTTTATGAAATTGAAACGAATATAAGATTACTTTTTTTCACATTATCATGATAACTTGTACAAATAGTTACCCTTTTTGCTGAACTTTATCTTAAAGTACAGTCACTTGATGGTCTGGAATTTGTTAAAGGAAATGTTGTCAAAACAAATCCCTCTTGACAGTGTATGAGATTTAAATAGAATAACTGATGAGAAATGAAATCAGTATATTTGATTTAAAGATCAATTTATGACCGAATATTAATAATTAACAAATTATTTATCAATCACAAAGTTGACTCAGACGAGCTGATATCTTGACAATAAGCCTTTTCCATCAAACATTGAAATAATGTGACAAGATCTCACTTGCAGCATTATTGTACAACACCACTTTTATAAGTAAAACGCTTGAGGGCATACTGTTTTATNCAGTAGTAGTACAGTAGTACAGTAGTAGTACAGTAGTAGTACAGTAGTACAGTAGTACAGTAGTACAGAAATACAGTAGAACAGTAGTAGTTCAGTAGTACAGTAGTACAGTAGTACAGTAGTACAGTAGTACAGTAGTAGTACAGTAGTAGTACAGTAGTACAGTAGTAGTACAGTAGTACAGTAGTACAGTAGTACAGTAGTAGTACAGTAGTATTACAGTAGTAAAGTAGTACAGTAGTACAGTAGTACAGTAGTACAGTAGTAGTACAGTAGTACAGTAGTAGTACAGTAGTACAGTAGTACAGTAGTACAGTAGTAGTACAGTAGTACAGAGAGTAGCGGACGCGTACCCGCGCTTCCTGTATCTGATATTTAGCGGTCCATTTTCAATAACTTTGAATGGTATACAAATTAATCATTACAATTATGAGCAAATTACCGGTTCTAAGCATACTACCTCTTCGTTACAAGGTTATATAACCTGTTTGTCTTCGTTACAAGGTTATATAACCTGTTTGGTTGTCTAACAAATTCCTTTGTCAGGTGTTCTGTCAATGTTAACAAGAAATTGACGTTGATACAGAGCCTCTTCTGGTCATGTTGGGCTTCCTGTCTCAGCTCTTAGGAGAACTGAACACATGATTGGATATAAACATGACTGTCCCATTCGGTGTCATACACTATGTGAGAAGTCATTAAATGTCTAAAATAATGTACAACATGCGAACTGTTTACTGGCTAACATTTAATTAGACATCCGGGTCAGCATTACATAGAGGAATGGTTTGTTGTCCTTGTCTCTAAAAAAGACGACAAACATGATTGGTTTCTACAAATAAATGATGCTTGACTTTCTGGTAAAACTTAATTGATTCAAGGCATCGGAATTTTCGACGCCTCGCTGAATCCGGGCCAGGCATAAAAACCAAGGCTTTTGCCGAGGCTGCGAAAAGAGCTACAGTGTTTTTATACAGTATACCTACCTTACATTTCAACCATGCATGCCTCTAGGAGGACCTCCTTCACTGTATCAATAAATTCGGAGAAAGTTTTCTGAATCTCTGAATCGAGTCTTGGACTCCCTTGATCGGAAACGTTCAAAACCCACCAATCATTTTGCTTGACTATGAAGTGGTCAAACTAATTGAATCTCATGGGAATACTTAGAAACCAGTTTATTGGGATATTTGATCGGCGAATTCCCCGCAATCATTGGAGTCATTAGGCATGTTACAAGTCTCTGATAGCAGATTATAGACCGAGTTAGTTGGATGTTTCCTGGGTACACTCATACAAGTTATGAAAGGCATGGCCATGTCGAATTCTCTGTTTATCATCACTTATCGCTAAGGGAATCACGTATTGTTATATACAATACATGTATCATGTTTTATCTATTGTTCTTTATGTTTTATATGGATTGAACAAAAGGAATATATTTCTTCTTCCTTTTATATAATAATTATTTGACAATAAATACTGATCTCAACGCTTTATTCCGTTTCTTTTCGACATACACTGATGACTCGAGTGAATCTTATCTAAACACATTACTGTCATACTGTAAAGGAATAGCCTTCTATTTTGGTCAAGTTACGAGGTGGTAACTCCAGTTGAGCGCGTGTATATTTATCATAGAGGGCTTTACACGTGTATATTTATCATAGAGGGCTTTACACGTGTACATTTAACAATGATGGCTTTACACGGGTACATTTATCATAGATGGCTTTACACGTGTACATTTATCATATATGGCTTTACACGTGCACATTTATCATAGATTACTTTACACGTGTACATTTATAATAGATTACTTTACACGTGTACATTTATAATAGAGGGCTTTACACGTGTACATTTATCATAGATGTCTTTACACGTGTATATTTATCATAGAGGGCGTTACACGTGTACATTTATCATAGAGGGTTTTACACGTGTACATTATCATTACATGTGTACATTTATCATAGAGGGCTTTATACGTGTACATTTATCATAGAGGGCTTTATCATAGAGGGCTTTACACGTGCACATTTATCATAGATTACTTTACACGTGTACATTTATCATAGATGGCTTTACACATGTACATTTATCATAGACGGCTTTACACGTGTACATTTATCATGGAGGGCTTTACACGTGTACATTTAACAATGATGGCTTTACACGTGTACATTTATCATATATGGCTTTACACGTGCACATTTATCATAGATTACTTTACACGTGTACATTTATCATAGAGGGTTTTACACGTGTACATTTATAATAGATTACTTTACACGTGTACATTTATAATAGAGGGCTTTACATTATCATAGAGGGCTTTACATGTGTATATTTAACATTGATGGCTTTACACGTGCACATTTATCATAGAGGGCTTTACACGCGTACATTTATCATAGAGGGCTTTACACGCGTACATTTATCATAGATGGCTTTACACATGTACATTTATCATAGAAGGCTTTACACGTGTACATTTATCATTGAGGGCTTTACACGTGTACATTTAACAATGATGGCTTTACACGGGTACATTTATCATAGATGGCTTTACACATGTACATTTATCATAGAAGGCTTTACACGTGTACATTTATCATGGAGGGCTTTACACGTATACATTTATCATAGAGGGCTTTACACGTATACATTTATCATATAGGGCTTTACACGTGTACATTTAACAATGATGGCTTTACACGTGTACATTTATCATATATGGCTTTACACGTGCACATTTATCATAGATTACTTTACACGTGTACATTTATCATAGAGGGTTTTACACGTGTACATTTAACATTGATGGCTTTACACGTGTACATTTATCATAGATGGCTTTACACATGTACATTTATCATAGATGGCTTTACACGTGTACATTTATCATAGATGGCTTTACACATGTACATTTATCATAGATGGCTTTACACGTGTACATTTATCATAGAGGGCTTTACACGTGTACATTATCATAGAGGGTTTTACACGTGTACATTTATAATAGAGGGCTTTACACGTGTATATTTATCATAGAGGGCTTTACACGGGTACATTTATCATAGAGGGCTTTACACGTGTGCATTTAACATTGATGGCTTTACACGCGTACATTTATCATAGAGGGCTTTACACGGGTACATTTATCATAGAGGGCTTTACACGTGTACACGTGTACATTATCATAGAGGGGTTTACACGTGTACATTTATAATAGAGGGCTTCAC